AGCAGCAGTAGTAGTAGCAGTACCAGTAGCAGCAGTAGTAGTCGCAGTAGTAGGAGTAGCAGCAGTAGTAGGAGCAGCAGCTGCAGCAGTAGCAGCAGTAGTAGTAGCGGTAGTAGTAGCAGCAGCAGTAGCAGCAGCAGGAGCGGGAGCGGGAGCAGGAGAAGGAGCAGTAGCAGCCGTCGTCGTAGTGTAGTAGTATTGGTAGGACTAGCGGCAGTGGTATCAGCGGTAGTAGCAGTAGAGCAGTAGTAGCAGTTGTAGCAGTTGTAGCAGGGGGTCCCAGTCGTCGTCCTGGTTGTCGTCGTCGTCTTGTAGGTGCGCGGCTCGCTTTTGGCCAGGCTTTCGATGGTTTCGCCCGGGTATTTACATGGGTTGCGCCACTTCCCATTATTATGGAAATCGTCATCGGTCTTGCTACGAACGTGACTAAGTCATGGTTATGCTGGCACCTTGGGGTCTTGCATGGAGTCCAAGACGTACGCCATGTTCAAACGTTGAGGGTGCAAGGGTTCCAAACGCTGCTGTGAGAATGCAAAGTCCTCGAAGAAAGCCTCAGTGCTTCGACAGCCGGCCACCACCTAAATATCAACCTTTAAACTTTAGACCAAAAACCTTCAAATACTAAGCCTTGAACACAAAGTTTCAGCCCTGAAGCCAAAATTCCTGAACCAGGATCCCCAACCCATAAGCAGTCGTCCCGAGGGCATTCTTTGGTACCTCAGTGCCTGGGGCTCCCCTCGCCGAGGCCAGGTCTTGTTCGGGTTAAAAATGTTATTTTATGGATTTGTATCATTAGAACAGGATCTTGGGGTGTGTGTGTGTGTATATATATATATATATATTTAGTACTGCAGCGAATATGGGCCCCTACAGTAGCATGTAGGGCCAACCACAGGCTTGGGTTTGTGGTGTGTTGTTTCAGGGTTTTCAGGTCTGGCGAGCTTTGCAAACGCGCAGTCCTTAAGAAACTGTAACCAGCTTCAGGGAGCTGCTAGAGATGCATGGCTCTCGGCCCCCAAGATCTGAGCCCCAGGCTCTAGACCGAGACTCAAGACCTTGAGCACATAGACCTCTAGCAGACTTTCGGCTTCGGAGTGGGGACTAGTTTCCGGTTGCCGGATACAAGCCATCACCATCACCACCACAGCGACCACCATCATCATCATCATCAGCAGGGTTTGCTTCTCTTCGGGAGCGAGGACCTGACTGAGCTCTTCATCCACTCCTTGCATGGACTCCGATATGTCAGGTGAATCAGTTCCCCAGTAAACGAGTAGACCACCTCCCTGCCAGTGAGCGGGGGGTTCTGTTTTTGACGACTCGTGATCTGTGTGCTGCCCAAGGGCTTTGTCCTCGCTGCTCAGGTTTGGTAGTGGTGCGGATCGTTCTTCAGCATAAGAATGAGTTAGGAACTTAAGCTTGGGAGAGATGCTTGGGGTTCGGGATCGTTGAGGGTTTGACTTTCAAGGTTTAGCGCTGACAGCGGCGAGAGATGTAAGGAGTTTCTCAGGACTTTGGTGGCCAGGACGGAAGCCGGATTTTTGACAGCATACTGGTACTTCAGGACTCAATCCACTTATTCTGCATCTTTGCAAGGCGTGTCATCGTTTCAGTTAAATTTAAATAGTCAACAAACTAGGATCGGATCAGACATCGGAGCTTCAATTGCCTTCGGCGTGGCTCTGCTTTCGCCCCGGCCCTACGCCCAACCCGAACTCCAACCCTCGAGCCCCGAGCCTCTGAATATGATGGGGAGTTTGAGGCGGCTGGTTCTACGCGCCACCTGCCAGCATTTGGGAGATTAGGTGCGCAGAGTGCAGGGTCTGTAGCCTATAGTTTCCGGCTCTTTACTTTTACAAGCTTTCATGGCTGCAGGTTGCAGGTTCGGGTGTTCCGAGCCTTCGAGGCTTTCAAATTATTCTTGGGAGGGTGCGGTCGCGTGACAGAAGCCTATCATGCTCTATGCTTCTCAGAGTATAGGGTGTGAGGAATTGTTTTGTGCTAATTCGCCATTTCGGGCTTGTAGGAGAGCCAACTTTGTGATAGAACACCCCTCCCACATCTGTCCTCTACTTGGTTTGTTTATGAAATACTTAGCAACCAACTGATCCTTTACGGCTATTTGTACTGCACCACCGTGACAGCGATTCCGAGGCTCCGAAACCCCTCAACATAAGACTACAACCCTAACCCCGTGCGCAAGCCCGTCCAAGCTCGGGCCCCCCCTCCCACAAGAGCCTTGAATGAAGAGCCCGAAGCCTGAAGCTCGCAGCTCAGATTTGATCAGAAAACCGAGCAGCGATCCCAAGAAAAACCTTAGCCGCTAGGCCAAAAGCCATGAAAGTCCGAAGCTGTTAGAAGACGTCATGAACACGCCAATTCCAATTCCCATTCCCGGCTCTAGCTAAAGCCAAAAGCCCGAGCTTCAAGTTAACAAGCCCGCAACCCGTAGGCCTAAACCTTACACCCGAAGTATCATTATAACGCACGAACCTGTGAGGCCGTACTGTCCCAGCTCGGAGCACAAGGACCGAGACAGCTTAGCGTCTGGGGCTCGCGTTTCGCATCGATGGCTTTGTCGGGTATGGGGCTTAGGCGTGGGGTTGGGGTTTCAAGGATGTGATTAGTTCCCGCTGATGTGTGAATAGCTCGGTCAAAGGGTCAGGGTCGAGAGGTTTCGTTTCGGTCGATGGCTGGTAGGGCTCTAGGCACAGGCATTGTCCTAAACCCCAAACCGAACGCGGAAGCTCGGACCGCTAAATCCCAAACCCTAAGCCCTAGCCTGAACCCTGATCCCGACACCCCAAACCCTGAAACCCTGAATCCCCGAGCCATTAAGCCCCTAAACCCCTTACCCTAAGCCCTAAACCGTAAAGCCCTAACAGGTAACCGTCTTTGAACCCGAATAGCTCCTTACATCCTGGCTACCCTTTAAAAACAGGAGATGTCTGTAAACCCTGAACCAGGAGATGTTTCGCTTGGGCTTCTCGTTCTGGTGCTTCGCGAATTCTGGCCTCACGCACGACAGGGCCTTGGGAGGAGTGTTTATGGGGGTCTTTCATAGAGTTCAAGGTTTGGGTTCAGGGTTTAGGGTTTAGGGTCTGTGTGGTTTGCTAGAGCTTAACTGCATTGCTCTGAAGAAAGTCTATTCCGCTTAGGCGTACCTTGCCTAGAGTAATTCAGGAATTGTTCAAACGCAACGCGTTGATCAACAAGCAAGGCTTGTTAAGCCGCTAGAAGTCTGTTGTTGGAACATCTACATGAAGAACCGTGTGTTGCTCGAAATCAGGGTTCTTAACTAGAAGAAGATCGTTGAGGAAATCCGGGCTTCAATGTTGATTTTCCATATCATCCCGATGATGGGCAAACCGTCCAAGCCTTATTCCAGCCGCTAAGGCCGGCATACACACACACACATATATATATATATATATATATATATATGTATATGTGATTCCCTACATTGGGGTTCTTGTTGAGAACCGGTGCTGACAAGAACTACCTCTCTACTCTGAAGGCAAGCAGAAGGAGGGAACCCAGGGTTCTTGAAGCCTCAGGAAGCTCAAAACGACCCGCCTTGCTCTGCCAAGGCGCTACTTTGCATGGCCGGGGCGATTTTTCACACAGTCCCAGCCTCGATGCTGCGCGGGAGCTGTGGGGGTTTAGGGCTCCGGGTCTTGGGATCCCCAAAACCCGACAGCCTGACTTCCAGAATTTAGTGATCGTGGGCTCGGGGTGAGTTCTCGGGCGGAGAGCCAAAGATGCGGCAAGAATGACAGCAATGCTGATGGTCATCAGGATGACGATGACGATGGCGGTGGAGGTGGGGTGGCCATATTGTTTGCTTGCGTATGCCGGCCTGTGCAAACAATGTAGCAGCAATCGCAGCAATGTGCCCAGATTATAATCGGTGCTGCTGGTGATGCCTACTGCTAGTACCACTACCACTGTCGCTACCTCATACTTTATTGCTACTCCGACTCCTATTGCTGCTAATGTGCTGATCTCACGTAACCTTGAGAACCGTACATGGGGTCAATGTTGCAAAGCTGAGGTCTTCATCCTGCGATCTCTGTACCCCGAGAACATCATCTTCCTCCCGAGCTCTGAGGCCAAGCGGCTTCGCAATTTTCTGTGTGGAGTTCCTGGGGCGAGGTCTTAGAGCCGGGTTTCGGCCGTCAGGCAGTACAGAAGCCCTTAACACCAATAGCCGCCCTCTGAACTTTGACTCCACGCCGGCCGGTTCCGGGGCTCTTGATTGGTATCCCTTGCCTTGCGCTTGAAACAGAGGTGCTTGTATTAATTGTACCAGCAGACAGAACTTGCCTGTGAGAAAACTGCCGCCGGACAATGATGACAGCTGCTTGAACTTTCCACGGTACTACCTTCCCGCGAAAACGGATGGCATGCGCACAAGCAAGCTGCTAACTGCATCCGCACAGGTAAGCTGTACGACATGGTGTCGTGAATAGCATCATGATACTGTTGTACTATATACTATACCCCCAAAGCCTTCGTCGAATTCGACCCGTGCATTATGTGGGCAGTGTGTGCGCCTCAACACATAATAGATCATTCCTCTTTGCCAGTGCATGGAATTCTGTCTTCAGTGCCGGAAAGACGAAGAAAGACTAGCTTCTGCCTCTGCACCCAAAACCCAAAACCTCAAAATCCCAAGCCCCAAAACCGAAACCCTGAGTCCTAAACGAGCAAATTCCTCTTGAAGTCTCACGGCCTGAAGGTTCCGACCGTGGTCGCTTTGAGTCCAGAGTTGAAAACTAAAAATATCAAGCCGCAAACATTTTTCGACTAGATATCAGCCAGTGTCGTCCTACAAAATCCCCCTCGAAGGTCACTCTTTTACCAAGAGCTTGGGACAACAAGGACCCATGAATTAGAAAGGGCCGCTATGGATCCTGCCAAATGCGTTGGTGTGCGGTGATACAAGACTACAGTCATGATGAGAATTGGAATGACGACGAGAGTCGGAAAACAACAGCGTTCACACCACCAGGTGCCAAAGTTTTTGGAGACTGTGCTGGAAGCGAGCCCGGTGTGCAACAGCCAGGGACCTGGATTGTGGCGTGGGCAGCATCCTGGCCATGGGTGCAGGGGTCACTGCCATCACAAGTCAGTGGGCCAGGAGGGTACAGAAGCGGGTGGGGCGGGTCCATTCACACGTACCTCCATGGTGCGCTTGGGAAACGGCTCGGGCGGCTGCGAGAGCATCGACCTTCATTCATCCTTCAACTCATCTCGTCCCACTCTGGCGTTGCACCTGTCAAATTCTTGCCAAGCACTCCGCGGTTGCATCACATCATTCTACTTCGTCATCATCATCGTCATCATCATCATCACCATCATCTCTCTCGAATCGCAGCGTCCACTTGAAACGCCTTGCGAGGCCTATAGGCAAGCGCATCCGTGCCCGGCGCCCCTTGAGCGCTGTGCATTTGCACACCTACGAAAAGAGCTAAGT